AATATTTGCACACCAAACACAGGCACCTAATTTCATAAAAGTACTGTTAGACCTAAAACCACAGATTGATCCCAACACAACACAATGAAAGTAGGTGATTTCAACACCCTATGCTCACCAACAGGCCATCTATACACAAACTAAACAGAGAAACTCTGGAGTTAAATGTCATCATAAATCCATGGATCTAACAGATATCTATAGAACATTCTATCCAAACACTGAAGAAAATACTTTCTTCTGAGCATCCCATAGAGCTTTCTCCAAAATTGACCACATACTAGAATAAAGCAAGTTTCAACAAAAATGGGAAAGTTGAAATGCTATCTGGCATTCTATCTTACCATAAAGGAATAAAGCTGGATATCAACAGCAGAGGCTACAGAAAGTATACGAACTCATGGAAACTAAACAACACACATTGAATGAAAATTGAGTCCAGGGAGAAATCAAGAAAGAAATTTTAAAATTCCTAGAACTGGATGAAAATGAAAATACAACATACCAACAATTATAAGACACATAATAAGAGAAAGCATATAACACTAAACCTGCATCAAAAATTTTAAGAGCTCTCATTAGCAACTTAATAATGCATCCTCAAATTAATAGAAAAGGAATGCTTCTGAATTCTTTTTACAAAGCCCTGATGCAGGGCTTTTGAGCATAATGGGACTTTTCACGGCCCAGTGGTATATGACCCAAGGACCTAAGATGTCAGACACATTCATCAAAGACCAACATAGGGCAGGGACTGGAGAGATTGTTCTGTGGTTAAAAGCATTAGCTTCTCTTCAGAAGGACCTGAGGTTCAGTTCCCAGAACCCACTTTTGACAGGTCACAACTACTTAAATAACTCCAGCTCCAGGGGATCTGACACCCTCTTCTGGCCTCTTTGATGATCAACACCACACACATGACATACATTCACACACACACATAAATAAAATCTTTTTAAGTTAAAAAAAAAAAAAATCAACCTGGGACAGAGGCTCCAAGTTTGTTGTTTGTTGTTTCATGCCAATGAAAATTTAAAACCTGGAATCTCATGACAGTAAGCAAAGAGGAAGCAGGCTTTATCAATACTAAGCATTAATACAGAGCAGGGAGAAATTGAGGAACGGTGAGAGAGTAAGGACGGCAAAGAGGGAAACTCCCAAAAGAATGAGGAGTTTCTAAAGGAGGAGAATTCACTTGAATTTTCTTTGTCTGGAGGTTTTACAGAACAATAGCAAAGAGTAGACAAAAGCAGAGACTGTCCCTACTGAAACTGGTTAATTCTTTGGGCTATAATGAGCTGGCCCATGGAGGTCCCACAAACTCTATGCATGTCCCCATGGCTGCAGCCATGATTGTGTGCTGTTCATATGCTGTGCACCCAGTTAGTAGTGATTGAAGCCCCTCTGTGTACACTTCTGACTCCAGCTTTGTTAGTTACTGACCTTGACTGTCTGCTAGCTGTCAGTCACTTCGCCAGGGTTACCATTCTCCAACACTGCAGGTGGTATCAAGGGCTGTTAATTATACTAAACTCTATTTTTTCTAACATTTATATGATCAACTTGTAGCTTTGCCACATCAGAGGTTTAACTATCACAGCTACCAAGATATAGCTGTGGTCTTTTTTGGTTACTTCATACTTTGTCTTTGTCTATACAGTGGTCTGGGGTTTCCTTCCTGAAGTGGGTACAAGTGTGCTTTACTAGAAGCGATTCTTAAAGCTTATTCTGTTACAGTCAGCTGTGTTAGAAGTGAAGACATATGCAAGGACAATAGGGCCTCAGGGTCTTTGGGGAGCCAGGTGGCCTGTCTTCATTGGCTCAGAGTCCTATCTCTCATCTATTTAGTTTAATTATCAAACACCCACCTGTAAGCCCTACTAGTCATCTTTTTGGCACTCCAGACTGTACTGTTTTAACTTTTAATCTTCCTTTCAACTCCATCCCCTGTTCTTACAACAATAGATGTAGGCAATTGGTAGTTTTTACCATAGACCCTTTCCCTTTACTACATGCCTCAATATTAATAGGAATAGTGTCCTGATAAGAAGAGAAAGAGTTCAAACTCACTCTTGATCTCTTTCTGTCTCTGTCTCTATCTCTGTCTATCTGTCTCTCCCTCTAACCTCCAAGGAAAGACCATAACATTTAAGAGAAAGCAAGAAAGAGATACCTTATCAGAAACCAGAAACCAATCCTTCAGGTACCTAGATCTTGGACTTCTAAGCTACAGAGCTGTGAGAAAATTAATTTGTTTTGTAAGCAACCCAGCCACCAAGTCAGTACTTTATTATGGAAGCTGGGAAGGCTAAAGTGCTTTCTATTTGCTAAGAACTCTGCTAAACACTAAGGAAATAAATTTGAGCCAAATATAGCTTTTTCTCTATCAGTAAATGGGTATGAGGGAAATAGAGGAAAGGAAGTATGATCAATGGTACTAACACTTCTACGTAAGGTTCTATAGTGGCCTTGAGAATGGAAAATTAATTCTGAATAATGGAGAAGTTTGGAAAGTTTTGACAACAGAGAAAAATTTGTATGTTGAGTCTTTCAGAAAACAGTTTGGTAGAGGATGAAATAGAGTGATTTAGACTTGAAAAAAAAATCAATATGAGCAAAGGTAAAAATGTGGGTAATTGCATTTGTATTTAGAAAGTGAAAAACAATTCATGCTAATTAGTTAGCATATGAGTGGTAATAAGAGATGCAGGAACACATTGAGGCTAAATAGGGCTACAGAAATTAATGAGTCACTATTCGTTCCTGATCTTGCATGAAAGTCCCCAGGGCTGCATGATAAAGGTCAGGGCATATCCATAGATGTTTTCCTAAATTATCAGTTCTTAAAAATAATAACATAAGGGCTGGAGAGATGGTTCAACAGTTAAGAACACTGCCCTGCTCTTGCAGAGGACCTGGGTTTGGTTCCTAGCACCCACATGGTGGCTAACAACCATCCATAACTCCAGATCCTGGGTCTCTCAAGCCCTCTTTTGACCTCTGTGGGCATCGCACAACATGAATGCACTTACACACATGCAGGCAGTACATTCATACACATGAAAAACTAATAAAATATGTTTAAAGGACATATAACCCTCTAAAGGAAATTCACTACATATAGATTAGAATGCAGAAGGCCTGAATTTTTATAATAAAAGATAAGAATGTTTTCTATGGATTTAAATGTTTCCAAGGACAGACACATATGATAGAAAGAATTCCATTCTATTCATAAGTAAGGACATCAACTCAAAACTTTAATGGGGATAATGTTATAGGCAAGAATGATAGATATGCCTAAGAAAATGGAAGTTATAATATAATAAAATCTATGTCTTTTAGCTAATTTTTGCAGTATTCTATGACATGGTTTATCTACATTTGTTGAACACATAATTACTCCAAGGGAAAGACATTTTAGACATCTCTATTTGAGGGATTCCGTTCTTAACACAAGACTAGATGGCTCATCAATACTTAAATCAATACTATTTATTTTCCTCTTACTTAGGTGGTTTAGAGTGCTTTGTCTAGAGTAGCATCAGCCAGAACTATACCACCAAGGAGCAGGTACCACAGAGACAATCTTAGTCATAAAACAGCTATGAGTTGGTTTGGCTTCTTTCTTAGGATCAGAGTTATTTTTCAAAAGAAGCTTTAATATCCTAAATTTAAAGATAATTGTATTGGCAAACATTTAATGAACTAGAGGGATTCTTGGGCAAACTATGCTAGCTGTAACACACACTAATACTCTTCATTTGTTATTCTGCCCCTCATAATCCTCCCATCAGCCTTCATGTCTTTCTATAAGCCTAACTCCCTCCTTATACCACAAACAACTGGGTATTCCAGTCAAAACAAAACTCTGTGCTCTTCATCTCTTACATCGATACCATCAATTAATCCTGCTGGTTCTGTTGGCAAACTACACTGGAAACTGCCACTACCTCAGCCCAAGGACAATCAAAGAGAGTGTGTCAACCTCCCAATGCCTCCGTGCCTTCACAATAAATCATTCTCCACAGAAGAAAACACATAACCATTTTTAAATACAAGACCTTTACCTCCTCTGATAAAAAGTATTGTGTGATGTATAATTATGATCTATAGGTTTGGCTCTTTGTTGTTGTAATTTTTAAATGATGCTGGCCTAGAAAATGTACATGTCCTTTTACTATGTATTTTTGAGAGTTTACTTTTAAGTATACCTCTAGACGAAATTACCAAGTAATAAAGGATTATATCTTCAACTTGGCATCTGAGAACTAAATCAATATAGTATCTCTCAGTTATTCATTTCTTTCAGAGCACAGTTTCAATAATCAGAAAAGTGAAGGGTATTCCTTCTGGCCACCCCATAAAGAATTTTGCTATCTGATGAGATTAGTGATTCTAATTATTAGCAAGTCTAATAGATTTTATTCAGCAAAAAGGTCCAGAAACAGTTGTAGTCCCTGCACTGGAGCCCACTGAAGTTCTAGTTTTCTGGTTTCGGTGAAAAAGTCCATTACCTAAATAAGCCACTTGAGGCAGACATGACAGTTTTCAATTTACAGTAGATTATTTGGATGTTATGTCATTATTGAGGAGCATTTGTACATAATCTGCATTAAGTAAACTGTGTGTGTTCTCATTCTTACATGTCAGTAGTGATAGGACATGGAATGAAAAACACTGGGCAGTATATACCTGTGATGAAGTATAGACTCAGGTATGGCCCTAAGGAAACCCTGGTGCTTTCCCAAGGGCAGACAGTACTTGGGAAACAATAACAGCCTTGGTTTACACAGGAGATGAAAACAGTTTTAACTACAGTTTACACTGAAGCTTTACTAAGAGCAAGGCTAGTGGCTCATGACTCTAATTCCAACACTTGGAAGGCTACAGCAGGAGAATTGCTGTGAGTTTGAGGCCAGCCTAAACTATACAGTGAGTACCAGGTAGCCTGAGCTATAGAGTGAGACCCTGTCTCAAAAACAAAATTTCATCACACCCAGAGAGAAATCATCTGCTTTATTGTACAAATGACAGTTTCTACAAGGGCAAAATTTAGGTATAATTATATACAAAGTTGGAAGATGAGATATTTATATCCAAACATCATTCTATTAATGGACAGTTTAAATATATTCAGCATAGTAAAAATTTAGAATGTTACCATGTCTGTGTTTGGGCCTTACAAGAAAGAAGGCAAAGACAGAAACTCTGCTGGCCCACTGAGTGTTCCACAACAAACAGTCCCACAATCTGATCTCAGAAAAACAGAAACGTCATGGTGTCTATGAACATGAACAAAATTAGTGATTATGCTTTACATAATATTGTTTGAGGCAATCATCATAAGAAATACTATCAAGATTCATAATTGCACAAATTTGTAAGGCTTTACATTTCTGGTCACAAGTTACACTGCTGTCAAAACTCACAAAGAAATAATTGTAGTATTTTGGGAACTGCTTACTGTCTAGGGCAGCAAATTGCTTAGCTAATGCATATACATTTTTCGGCTGCAGATCTTCGATGCCATAGGCCTGAGTCAGGATATACTCCAATGTCCAGTTGGATACTCCCTTTAGGTTTGCATCTGTCAAATTCAAATAATACTGCAACATGTCCTACAGGTAAAGACAGTAACAAACCTGGTTTACTTTTCAACATATAAAGTACTGCACAGTATGAAGAGCCCTTACTGAGATTTATGTGCTGTTCTGAACTTAAAAGCTGCTATTAAGATTAGGTCTCAATAACAAAACCTATACCATTTCTTAAGTTTTAAAAATAGTGAAAGAATATAATAGTAAATAATCTAGATATACAGAAAGTTAAACAAAATAAAGTACCTTGAATCCTCACAACTCAGGGGTAACCATTCCTAACAGCTGTACACAAATCAGTCAGGTGCTGGAGGCAGCTGAGTCAGCTCAGGAACACTAGCTGAAATTCTTAGATATGCTGCAAGCCCGCTGGTGTCAGTTTAGGAACTTGAGACTGTCCAGGACATGTACATTTTCTATCTTGAAACCAAGAAGCACTACCAATCAGGGCACTATTTTCCCCAATGAACTCTAGTGCTAAATATTTGCTAACACTCCCATGCACATGTGTTCCTTATTCTTTATAAGTGAAACTAAAATAAATATTCGAATACACATGCCTATTTGACTTTTTGGCCATTTTCGTTAAATGGGCTCATACTAAGCAAATTGCTTTGCATTTTTACTTACTTTTATTTAGTGCTATATGAAGTCAATCTTCCCATGTCACTAAACACACACACACACACACACACACAGAGAGAGAGAGAGAGAGAGAGAGAGAGAGAGAGAGAGAGAGAAAGAGATGGGAGTGTACATCTAGATGTATCTGAGATTATCACCCCAAAGCAGTCAACTAACAATTATAAAAGAATTCTTTTGAACTAGTTTATAAATTGTTCTAGTGAATATTTAATTGATTTTTATGGATGAAGCCAGATGCTACTCCATCTCCTCTTCCTGTTATTCTGAGTAACAGAGACATTTTATCAAAAAACAGAAATTTGTGAAAGAAATGCAATTGCATTAAGAGCTACTTTAACTGAAACAAAATAGTTTCAAATTATATTTATCTAAAAGGGCAGTTACCCAACCTGAGAGGCCCACAATATAAATAGTCCTTTGATGTTAAATTATTCTAAAACATATAGGCACAAATATGCTCCAGAGAATGTTGGAGACAATGATAAATGCTCAATTTTATTTCTTCTTTAAAAATTGCAAACATTTACTGAGCACACAGTATGAGCTAGGCATGATTCCATGCGTCACATAGATTTTCTTCATGGATTCAGCTTAGGAACTCAGTTCAGTCATAATTGTGTGTTTCTGGTACGCATGGGATTCTTATTGTATGTGTGTACATGTCCATGTGTGTATATGTATACATGTGTGTCTGCCTATGCATGTGCCTGTGGAAGTCAGAAGTCAATTCTGGGTGTCTTTCTTGACTTCTCTCAGCCCTATTTCTTCTGAGACAACTGAACCTGGACCTTGACTTTTCAGTAAGACAGCCTGATCAGCAAGCTCCAGGATCTTCCTGGATCTCCACACCATTGTGCTAGGGATACTGGTATACACAGCCATGCCTGGCTGGTACATGACTGCTGAGAATCTGAACCTAGATCTTTATGCTAAGATCTAGGTTGCTAAGACTCAACTCTGAAACTTGCCAACTTACCAGTAATGTGTAATCACCTGGCTTATACTTTAATAGTCGGATGCCAGGATTGTTGGTCTCCTTTTGTGAAACATCTTTCACTGGTGTAACAGCAGGAGCCACAAACACAGAACTTAGTGGATTTCCTGAACAAAAAAAAA